GGTTGTACCTGGAATAGGCGTCGAGAAAACTAAGGATCTCGTGGCTGGTCGTTGTATCGATCATGCGATCGATGTTGGGCAGGGGGAGGAGTCCTTGGGACATGCCTTATTCAAGTCTTTATAGTCTACATACATTCTTAATTTATTCCCTTTTTTAGGGACTACCACTACGTTTGCTAACCAATCCGGGAATATAACCTCCCGAATGGACCCTATTTTGAGGAGTTTAGATACCTCATCCTTAATGAAAGCATGTTTTACCTCGGACTGGGGTCTTCTCCTCTGCTTGACCGGGTGGAACTTCGGGTCCAGGCTTAGCTTGTGAGTGGCGAATCCCTTCATATCAAGGTGGGACCAAGCAAAATAATCTTTGTTAGCTATAAGAAATTGAATGAGTTTTTTCCTGAGCTCGGGACATAACCCCGTGCCAGGTATACCTTTTGATTGGGAAAGTGTTCGATTAGTACGACCTGCTCCAGTTCCTCGACCGTTGATTTGGTAGCGTCGGAATCATCGGTGGCTATGAAATACCTGGGAACTCCGTAGTCAACGTCCTCATCCTCGTCTATCCTTTGTTTCCCTGGTTCTACCGAGGCTGGTACCGGTAATTGCTATTTGGCCTCGTCTTTGGCCACCTGATTCAGACCCTTCGATGTCGAGAGTATGGACGCTAGGATCACCTCATCGACCGCGAACATTTCCTTGGCGGCCGGTTATTCTCCGTACACTGTTTTGATTCCTCCGGGTGTCGGGAATTTTAGCACCTGGTTTAGTGTTGAGGATATTGCTCTCATGTTGTGAATCCATGGCCTTCCGAACGAAGCGTTGTATCTCATATCTCCTTCGATTACATAGAACTTGTCTTCCTGAATGGTTTCAGCGATGTTCATTGGTAATGTTATCTCCCCTTTAGTGGTATCACATGCCATGTTGAACCCGTTCAGGACTCGGACCGCAGGTATGATCTAATCTTGTAGGCCAAGTTATTCCATGACCCTCGATCTGATGGTGTTGGATGAGTTACCAGGATCAATTAACACATACTTAACTCGAAATTTATTTATGAGTACCGATATTACGAGTGCATCATTGTGGGGCTGCACAATCCCCTCAGCGTCTTTGTCGTTGAAAGACAAGGTTGTTGCACAATCCCCTCAGCATTTTTGTGATTGAAAGACAAGGTTCCTTCCGGTACGTAATCCCGAGTTCGTTTTTCCCTTATGATAGATATTTTTGTATGCTTCAGCATCGGCCCCTGGGGAATGTCGACCCAACCAATGATTATGTTAATGACGTGCTGAGTTTCTTCATGCTCAATTTGTTTACTAGAATCCCTGTTCCTGAAGTGGGTCTTGGCCCGATCACTCAGAAACTCTCGGAGATGTCCATTGTTAAACAGCTGGGCCACCTCCTCTCTTAATTATCGACAGTCTTCCATCTTGTGGCCATGAGTGCCATGATATTTGCACATTAGGTTAGGATCCTTTTGGGCTGGATCAGACTGTAGAGGTCGAGGCCATTTGGTGTCTTTGATGCGTCCGATGGCAGATACAATAGCGGTGGCATCGATGTTGAAATTGTACTCTGATAATCTTGGCGCTTCTTTAGGCCCGACGGGCCTGTCGAAGCTATTTTTGCTCATAAGTCCTCGATTGTTTTGACCTCAGTCATTTCTCCTTTCAATTATCATAGGGTTCCACTCGGAACCACTGCTTCTTCGGTCTCCATTGTACGGCTGATATCGATCCCTGTTTGATCTTGGTTCGCGATCGATGTCTCTCTTGACTCTGTCGATGGTTCTGACGGGATACACGGACCCGGAAAGGGCCCCAAGCTGATCATCTTCGACCCTGATTTTTGACTGATACCGGTTGTGGACATCGATCCAAGTGACAGTTGGATATTCTACCAAAATTTGTTTCAACTACTGTGAAGCCAACGAGCTTCGAATGTTGAGTCCTTGGGTGAAAGCCTGAACGACCCAATCATTAGCGACCGACGGCAGGTCCATTTGTACCATTTGAAAATGGGACACGAACTCCCTGAGACTCTCATTATCCTTCTGTTTTACTTTGAAAAAGTGTGACTTTCTGGTCTCGACCTTGATAGCCCCGGCGTGTGCCTTTACGAAGGAATCTGCAAGCATAGAAAATGAGTCAATAGAATTAGGAGGTAAGTTGTGATACCATATCATAGCTCATTTTGACAGGGTCTCCCCAAAATTTTTCAACAGGACAGTCTCGATCTCATCATCCTCCAAGTCATTCCGTTTGATGGCACACGTATAGGAGGTCATATGCTCATTTGGATCGGTCGTTCTGATGTACTTACGAATCTCGGGCATGCGGAGCTTCTTAGGAATCGGCTTAGGAGTTGCGCTCTGAGGGAAAGGTTTTTGAACAAACTTCTTGGAATCCAGGCCTTTTAATATCGGCGGTGCTCCTAGGATTTGGTCCACCCTGGAGTTGTAGGTTTACACCTTTTTGTCATTAGCTTCGATTTTCTTCTCCCCTGATTCTACCCGTTTCATTAGTTCCTCCAACATCTTTATGATCTCGGGGTTGGTCCCCGATTCATTTTCATTCGGCTCTCTACGACCGGTTCATTTTTGCGGGTGACTTTCTGAGATGGACCGGGTTCAATTTTGCTCGGTGTACGGCTTTAGTTCTGTAACTGGGCTATCGCCGCCTGTTGAGCATGTAACATTTCGAAGATCACCCGTAAATTGATCTCGTCCCCTCCAATATCTTGTGTATTTTGGGTTGCTGATCGGGCTTACCACGGACGCTATTCTCGGGGTCGGTAGGCAGATTTGCATTTATGGCCATATGCAAGTTGGCGTCAATCGGGTCAGCGACCGGAATTCCGACGAGATCAACAGGCGGTGCCCCGCCACTAGGCAGTATGTTATTTTCGTCGTGATGACCTGACTCATCGCCAACATGTAGAGGTGCTGACTCGGAGTTTGACATTTTGAGCTTTAACCTAAAATTAGATACACTCCAAAGAACAAGTGTAAAGTAGTGTGTGTTATAGAAATTTATATCAAACAACCACTATTATCCTCAGCCCCACGGTGGGCGCCAAACTGTTTACCCTCAAAATCGGATAATAATTAAATTTGTAAGTGGGTTTGAGGATACACAGATTTATTTGACACAAAGCGGTAAATAAAAATAAATTAAATAAACAAGGATAATGTAAGCTCAAACCACGTGAGGATGACGATTTAAGCCTTAGTGAAATATTTATCGTCGATTTGGGCTCGCAACAACAAGCACTGACGAACGAAAGCAGAAGAACTAATAACAGAAAAAGTAATAACATATTATCTTGGAATGCATGTTAAAAATATACTTTATGAATTATCAGACTCCCTTTATATAGTAGAGGAGTCATACTTTAGGTACAATTCTATAAAAGGTAAAAAATCTTCTGAATTTACTGATTGTCGGTTCTTTATCGGTACGTGCCGAGATTTGCCGAAATAACCGGTCGGTAACAGATATTTCGGTCTTCCGTTGGCTATGCTGACAATGTTTCCTCCAAGTCGTTTGAGGCTGGGACCGGGACCGGGATCATGGCCTCGATATTTTCGACGACAGACATCCTGTCTTCAGGTTCTAGCTCGGTGGGACTTGGAGTCGATCTTCAGTCCTTTATTGTCATGTCTCGAGCCTGGCTTACCATGTCGGTAGTTGGGATGCACCATGAGCTCGATTTCGACTGCACTGCTGGAGATTTACTCATACTACTCACAACCTAGCTTTTACATTTGCAAAATAAAAACTTTTACATGCTATCTATCTTTACATTGCAGCAGGGCATGAAAAAGAGTTCTTTAGACTTTTGTGTCTGAAAGAGGGCAGTTGCATTGCCCTTTTATCAAGTCTGTAACACCCCAAAGCATTCTTTAGTAAGTCCCTTGGATCAAAAATCACCATGTCATGTCCACTAGAGCCCAACTTTGTCAATACATCCGCAACTTGATTCCCTCTCTAAAACAGTGAGAGATATGAATGTTGAGTTGCTGGACGATCTTTCTCACGCAGTCTTTCTTTAATTTCCAACAGTGACTTTACTTAATTTTAAAGGATTTTAATCATATGTTCATGTAATTGTTTGAGAGAGAAACTTCATGAGCTTCACGATTACCTACTACACTCGTGCAAGCACACGTGCATTGCTTTGACTTGCAATGTCCTTCCATTTTGGCGGCTTCCGCTTACATACACATCGAATTCAGCACATTTAAGTTTATGAAACATTTGAGCATTCAAATAAGTAGATTCAGAAATTTAAGAAGAAGAAAAAACAAGAGGGGAAAATTAACAAGTTATCCGTTTTACCATATTATCAATTAATACTTATCAAAAAAATTATCAGCAACCTGATTTGATTTTGCAGATATTTTTAGTATAATATATGAAATTTAAACTCTTAACTTATATAAAATATAATATAACGATATCAAGAATTTTAATTAGAAAGAATTTGACACTATCACTGTATCTTAATCTATTACCATGGCTAACCTGCCGTATTTTCTAATTAAGTAAATAGTATCACTTTTTATGTACAGTTATCTATAGTTATTTTTTAGGTGAATTTATAATTATGGAAAGTTCTCTTGCATTGTTAGCATAGAGAAGTTAAACTACAAAACATGTGTAAAACCACAGTGTCCCCGAGGCATCAATGAAGCTTGATTACTAGAATGGTCAGATATTTTACAAATCTATGGACATTATACAAATAAAAGTAGCCAAGGACACACAACTCAGAAGTCAATTAGAGTACACTTTTCAAAGGAAATAGTTGCTATTCTAATGCTAGAAACTTATTACTATTACACAGATCAGCAAAAAACAATATTGTGAAGTAATGCTCAAGGCCGGTAAAAACTTACCCACATCCGATATTTGCACACCTGGTTCATGCTTTTATTAGGTTAGCATAAACATCGAATGTGAGTAAGTTTTTACGTAACCTCAAAAACCCTACTCCTTAACTCCAGTTGCTTTGACGGGAAAGAGTTGTAGGGTTTCGATGGGTCTGACGTTGCTGCAACAGGGAATAGAATTTTGACCCATATTGTCTGTCATCATCAAAACCCAACCTTGAACGTTCATTTTCATCATGTCATTCTCTGTTAAACGAAGATCCACTTTCCCCACGTTGTTCATCATTTGAGCTGACGATGTCTCTTTTCCTTCAGTCTATAATGGAAAGGATAGAGAAATGAGAAAGGTTCTAATTCATTAGTACTAAAAATTATAGAAACTATAAAATATTTGAGTTTAAGTTCTATGCATTGATAATGTAAAATAAATTTATACTATTAGGTCATCTAAAAGATAATTCGAATTTAATTGTGTGGCAACTATATCATTTAGAAGCTTAAACTATTAGTTATAATAATACATTTTTATTTATTTAATTATGTTTTCAACTTCAACAAACATTGTCATGTGTGGGTCTGATTTTTTTTTTATGTACCAAGTGCGTAAAAATTGAACCCCAAGACCTCTTTCCTTTCATGCATTGATACCATATTGATAATTGTGTAGCTAGCATATATACTTTATCTACTTATTTGTGTTTTGAAACATAAGATAACAGTCCATAATAAGTGGGTAATAACCTAGAAATAGGGCACGTAACATGCCGTAACATGTTAAATATATTGATTGTGTAAAAGTTATTTACCGTTAGTGTATGTAAGTCAAATCGGTGTCCCAATTATGACAGTAGAAGTAATGTGCATACATTATACTATACACATGAATATATACCTGATGAAGAAGTATAGTAGGAGAATGAGGGTAAAATGTATGGACATTAGGAGGAAAAGAAGGGTAATTCTCAACGAAGTGAACGACGTCGTTGGTGTTGGTGTTGTTGATGAGCAGAGGTAATTGATTATCATTATCTTCGGTAGGAGTTTTCTCCATTTGGTGAAGCAGCTGTTTTCTTAGCTTTTGCCTGTCTCTAGCTTTGTGATTTTGAAACCAGTAAAAAACATTCTTGCATTGTATCTTTCCAAAAAGAGAAAGGTGAGCTGTGATCTTTTGTACTTGAGAAGAAGTTGGATTTCTCAACCCTTTTCTATACAAATCTTGTAAAATCATCAGCTGTTGTGGTGTTGGACTCCATCTTGGTCGAGGCATTGTGGTAAAAAACAAAAAAAAAAAAAAAATTCAACTCAAAATTGTTTTTTTTTTTTTGGGTTTTCTCAAGAAAAGAAAACTTTGTTTTTGTGTTTGGAGTATGTGTATATGTTTCTAAAAAGGGTATAAATAGACAAAGATTTAAAATGGGTGGTCATGCTGATGTAGCCACGTACTTTAGATGAATTAAATGAGGAGAGTTGAGTCTTATGTTAGAGAAGGGTCATTTAGTAGGTTAGTTGTTGATATCGTCATCATCGTCTCTATTATTAAATTTACTCAACTGACAGTGAATTATTGAAAATATTACTGCGTGGGATTTAGTGAAGAAAAAAATCAGATAACTCATTTGTTTTAATTGGAGCCTAAAACTAGGCCTACTCTACTTTTCATTTTTGGATCAAAGCAAATTCTTGTTGAATGACCCTCTTCTCTTATAAATTATTGTAATTATTCTAGAGTTTGAAGTGAAGTCAAAGTTAGAGTGATAGGTACACGTCCCATAGCTAGCCTTATAATTTCTCCACAAAATTTAATTACAATTAGTTGGATTTATCAGTTAATGTTTTTTTTTTAATGTTACACGGGAGATTAGAGGATAGGGGTACAGTGAGAACTAAACCTACAAGCTGATTAGGTGGTCATTTAAGTGCTAGCCAGCACTCAAAGTAAGCCAAAACAAGTTGGTTTTGGTAATAACCAAATTTACTAGGTACTTGAAGTTATATTGGTGGATCCAAAATTTGAGCTTTATGAGTTTGAATTCGGAATTCATCATATTATATCTAATTTATTGGGTTCAAATCCTTTTACACTTATTTCGTTGGATTTTTAACAGATACAGAGCTTAAGCAGAAGCTACTGGGTTCAGTAGCTTCTTCATTGGCTCTGCCACTGTACAAGCTAAGTAGAGATAGACTCAGTATTCTCATTTTTTTCCTTCATCAAAGGATCAACTACTTCATTAGGGATATCACATAATCACAGTAGACTTGTCATGCAGAAAACTTTTTTTTTTCAAAAAATATTATGAATATCTAAATGAGCTCCATGTTATACAAGGCAACGATCCCTCATATAAATATATTCCATACAAACCCTAAAAACCAAGATAGGAGACTCTATTTTTGGCTGTTGTACACTTGTATTCCTACTCCAACAAAAACCTAAGCCAGCTTTAGGCAATATACCGCTTAAAAATAATAGTATAAAGAAACCATTAATCCAGTACAAGAAATAAAATCTTACAGTCATACATTCAATCACTACAAATTGAGTTATGATAATAGGTCAACATTACAAGAATAAAATTTTGCGTACTGATGCATGCGAGGTTAAAATCTCTTCTTCTTCTTCTTCCTTTTTTTTTTTTTTTTTTTTTTTTTTTTTTGCATTTAGCAGATCAATAGTTTCTCTTTAATAAAAATTGTACTCACTTTTTTGTTCATGTGTACGTACTGTTCAATCCCCCATAATTGGTAATCAAAAGTAATAACACTTACACCTACCAAGAGTAACTACGAGTAATCACATTTAATCAATAATTTATTATCCTCTGTATATAGAATAACGTGTATATACTTCATTTCTAGCCAGACATGATCTTACAAAGCAATAACTATACAAGTATTATACATTAGAAATGTATATATATGTATACTCCATTAATAGTTCTAGCCAAATGAACCATGTTAAACCTTTTTTAATTCCTAATAAAGACATTTTTTATTTTCAAATCCTACTAATTTGCTATTATCGGCCAAATTAGTTCCTCAATAAGTGGGAGTTTAATTATTTGCGTTCAATTAATGAGATCACTATTTTCCTTATTTACACAAGTTATTGCTTTGTTCATATTTTGCACTACAAATCAAGCACACAGCGCCCCTTTTTGCAGCCAATTTATTTAAGGCGGCTAAATAATGTGCGTTGCTAATCTCGGCGCACAAATCTTCTCTCTCCGACAAAAAACGCTGGTTTTCATTAATTTCCATACTCCGTTGCATTCATTCTCTGCACAACATATTAAAGTAACCTTTTAAATTCATACCCAATATGCGTAAAGTTTACGTTTTATNCACATTATATCTGCTACATTCGTCAGCACATGTATTACCTCCCACCAGCACATCAGTTAATTGTGTCTATCAAATTTAGACAGATGAGAAGAAATCACGCACTCCCTCTGGTTCATAATAAGTGACCATTTTATTTTTTTATTTTTATTTAAAATAAGTGTCCATTTACATAATCAAGAAGGAATTAATTTTATTTTTCCAAAATTTACCCTTATTACATATTCCAATGTGTTAAGATAATAATTAATTAAGATTAATTTAGTGAATACATCTTTTTTTTCTCTAGGAGTTCATATTTTCTTAATATGTGTGCCAAAGGTAAAATGGTCACTTATTGTGAACCGGAGGGAGTAATATTTTTGTCGTTGTTAGAATTTAAACCTCAGACCGCATAGTTCTCAACCCACTTTATTAACTAGGCAACACCCTAGGGTGCCAGGTTTAAGTTATATATGCATTAACAAGATTTAAAAAAAAATTCAACTTACCAGTGCTGTTAATATCACTTCTATTAGGTTATCAATTAATATTTATTTGAATAATTTACTTATAATTATCTTATAAGTAATTTAATTGTAAAAATAATTTTTCATTCATCAGTACATAAAACTTAAACAGTTAAACTAATATATCCACCATCAAATAAATTATTCGAGATACAACAATTCTTTTAGAACTTTTGTCGGGTTTCGAGACGTCGATTTTTGAGTTAAATTTCGGATTTTTATATTTTCATATGGAATTAATTCCAATAAATGTTATTGACTGAATCAAATTATTTGTGGCTAGATTCGACGCGTTTGGAGGTCAATTCACGAGACAAAGACCTAGCGGAATAAAAAATTTCACGATTTGAGATAAGTAACAGTTCTAAATTTGTTCCTGAGGTTATGAAACCCCGGAACAAAATGTGTAACCTCTCTTACTTTCTTAAAAAATGTGATTACAAATGCAGCCGTGCTTGGGTCATATGAATGGCAAGGTTTCTTCACTAATTAAGCCAAAATGCATAAAGATAAATTTGACACTGTAGTTTTACTACTTTTGATAACTTGTAGACAGTTTTGGAAAAGTCAGACCTATAGAAAAGTAAAGAAGAGATAAATATCCGAACTAGAAAGTGTACGTTTGCAGAATATATATATGGAAAGTTAAAGAGCATTAAGATCCCTAAGTCCAGAGACACTATTGATATTAATTTCAATCACAGATTAATCATGTACTAGTATCATCACATTATTTGGATATTAATTTTTTTACGTTAGTACAAAAGAAAGAAAGCCCTGAATTATAAAGGCTGAAAAGAGCCGAAGGGAATAGCATCTAATTAATATATAACTAAGTTTCTGTTATAAATAGATTTATATTTAAGGTGGATGTCTATATTTTAGAGAGATATTAGAGTTTGTTACTTTGTGACTAAGTTACTTTTTTCCTATAAATAGAGAGGTTTTATTCCATTGTAATCATCCCAAATCAATAAGAATTCTCTATCTTTTTTTGCAATATTCTTTTTTATTGTTTCATTACACGTTATCACGAGACTCTAACAAATTGAGTAGACGCATATGTCTTGGTCACCAAGCTTTGAGATACGTGCATGGTGCTCAACTTGTATATAATATTAAACATAATGATTATCAATTATTCCATGAACTTCTTTCAGGAATAAATTCTGGATTGAAGGTAAGTATTTTACCTTATTTTTCTCTTTCAAATTCTTGAAATTCTATAATTTGATTTTAAATACAAGCAAAGATAATAAATTTTGATTATAACTCTAATAGAGTTTGTAAGAAATTATAACCACTCAAGGTGATAAATTTTCTATGTCTTGCCATGATAAAATTCATGTATGATTATCAGCACAAAAAGTGGAACCCTGTCATATTGACTTTGCTTCATTCTCATTCCCTTAAGAGAATGTGATAGCAATATGTAATAAGTCTAAAAGTAGATAAAATTATTACTGTGAAGGTATCAATAGATGTGGATATAGCAATAGACGAAATTATAATCGTCATCATTGTGGTAATGAGAATAATAAGGATTCTCAAAATAATCCTTCACTCTGTGAAAGTAATATTTGCCATTGATTTGACATGAGATTTTATAAAGCACGAATAGATTATTATGTTCCATTCGTGAAGTGAATGTGGAGACAATGTGATAATCATTATGAATATATATTCATTCTTGAAAGAAAATAAACGTGCTAGTGGTAGTGAATATACCACACTCACCTCTAGAAGGAGGTTTGAGAGAAAATAAGAAAATAATATCATTATTATGGCATGAATGATCATTGGTCACGTACCTATTGTATGCCAAAATATTATGGCAATATGATTATTATAGGGCAAAAGTAATAAAAGTAACATATCTTGCCTAATGTTATAACTTTCTCTTTGAAAGAGATATTCACCACATGGAAGGTGATGAATATGTGATAGTAAAAAATTAATTAAAAGTTCTGGAAGAGCCAATTATACTATTTTGGAGAAATAAAATTGATTACAAATAAGGTATTGTATCATAGTAAGTCTCAAAGAAACTTATTTATTTTCCAAAGTATTCGCAAAAGAGGTTGGTTATATTGAGACTATAAATAAAGAAAAGATTTAATATCTTCTATCACTACAACTTGTAGCGGGGTAATATGTATGTGAAAAGTTACCCGCTTTATTTTCCAGTTTATACTACATAAATAAAAGAATGCCACAATAAAGTAGAAGTTTATTGATATAAAAACTCATATCGTAATAAACTTGGAGTTTATTGATAATTGCACACGTCATGGTGTAAACCTAAAGTTTATCAATATTGACAATTTATTCAGTTAGCATAATTGGTTTAGCCATGTTAATTTAAGTATGATATGCAAAAATAAAAGAGATTTCACAAGGGTAAATATTAAAGAAC